TCTCTGACCCTTTCCCCCTCCCTCTTAAGTCACAGAAACAGTGAAAAGCAAAACCATGAACAAGTGCTTCAAATAAACAAATATTTTTTGAATAATAAAGTTCTAGAAAGCCCAAGCTATGGCTTTTGCCATTCTCCCCCACAGAGTGAACTTTCATCTATTTACAAAGACTAAAATTAGAAAAAGGTGTTAAGCATTTAAAATTGCCTTGAAATCCTGAGTACATTTAGACACCATCAGGCCTAACCTATGTTCTAGCCTATAACAAGACGCACAATAGAAGCAGGATTCAGATAACAGGATAAATTCATTACTGTATTTTCTTGGTGAAAACAGGGTAAAATAGTCCAAAGGCCAGCACATAGCTTCGCAGTCAAGAGTGGCTCAATTTCAAAGACTCCTCCACAGGGGCAAGGGGCAGTTCTCCTGAGGCGACATATTCCAACAACTACTACATTTTAGTGCATTTAACACACAGATTGATTACATACCTTGATTACTGAGGTGATGTTACAATGTATGAGGCTCTGTAATAAATAATCACAAGGAGGAATCAGCCTGATTGTTAGAGAAATTGTCTTGAGAAATATTAAGTGCTAACGACCATAAGGTGGGCCAAAGCTCATGGCTGGATAGTTCTTCCTCTTAGTTAACCTGTTAACCTTAGTTAAGAGGACCACTTGGATGAATCTCCTTGAAAAAAGAACAGTTATCTCTGTTTTTGCTAAACCTGGCCCTATGTGTATTTCCCTATTGATATGTACAGAGCAGGCTAGGACTTCCCCTTATCCCTTCAATTGGTTTTAATCAGCACAAATTGGTCCAGAAAGGTATTCAGGTGTACTGTTTGAAGCAAGGTGACAGGGCAGTGTTACTCCACCCTGTAGCTTCTAAAAAACGTGTGAGCCAGGCAGGATGGAGAGCCACACTGTACATGACTTTCTAGAGCATAAAAAGTCACACACCAGAGATGAAGCACCCACCCCAAAACATCACATACAACCTCAATTGCATCATGCAGATTACTCTTTCTGCATATCCTTCTCCTGCATATTTCAGAGGTGACTTCAGGCTACCTACCTAGCCCAGCTTACAGCACTCACCTACTTCCAACCATTCTCAGTTATTCATCCTTAATCCACATTCTTCTTCACAAATTAATAAAATTCAGGGTTGGCCCTAGGTCAAGGTCTTTGTCCAGATAGTCATCATCTTAGCTGGATTTAGGACCCCTTGGTTCCCCATAACTACAACTATTCCTAGTGTCTTTATTCTTGCCATGGGTTGCACTGGAAGTGACAGATTGGAATCAGCTCACTAGAATTCCAGTAATTTTTCTATGGGATTACTAATGTAAACTTCCTAGACCATGACAGGGACCAGGAAGTGCTCTCTATAAGCCTGCAAATCAATCTCCCGATTGATTTTCAGCAGAGATGCACTAGAATGGGAAAATATATGCATTCATTCTATGATTCTACACAAACATGATCTTGTATATAAGTTAATTAGAAGTTTTCTTGAACTTGTGAGGAGGATTAGAATGTTTTCAAAAGTACGATACAGATGGCCCCTGACTTATAATGGCTTGATGTTGTGAGGGTGCAAGTGCAATGTGTACAGAGTAGAAATTGTGCCTTGAATGTTGGATTTGGAACTCTTCTGGGGCCAGTGATGTGCAAGGTGACACCTTCTCTCAGTGCTGGGCCCTGGAAACCAGGTGTGGCTCCAGTCAGCCCCAAGGCCAGAAGGGAAACAGCCTACACATTGCCATATGCAGAGTGCTGCTACGCGAGGTGAGGGCAGGTTAAGTGTATTAAATGCATTTTTGACTTATGATATTTTCACCTTGTGATGAGCTTATTGAGATGAACCCCATCTAAGTCAATGAGTGTCCATATTCAGTTATCACCTGGAAGAGGAAGGGTCAGGCTCTGTGGGCCTAAGAGACAATAGCACAGAGGGCAGAATCCTGAGTGGTTGCATGAATAGAAGGCAGAGGGTCTGGGTTATACAGGACAGTTACAAAAATAAGTAATACTACAAGAATCTTTCAAGACAAAGAGAGAGACACAGACTTATGTCAGAAACAGAGAGTGAGGAGAGCAGAGGCAGCCAGAGAGGAGTTGGGTGAGGGTGTGCAGCAATGAGCTGATTGCCTCAGCTGCCCAGCACAGGCAATCCAAGTCTAAAAAGGGACCCTGAGACAGCTGTGAATTTGAGGAGAGAAATCCTAACAGCCCATTCAACAGAACCTCCTGGTTTCAAAAGCCAGGGTCCTGAGAAAGGCTGATAAAAGGACCGCTGGGTAATGTTACATGCTCAAAAACTGCTTATCACCAACATTGCCAGTGTGCGTCTGAGTAAATTCCTAAGTAAAGGGATTTACAATTCCTCCCATCCAAAAGCCTGTGTCATGTACATCCAGCCCTCCATACTGTAGGCTCCTATCCTTGGGTTCAGTCAACTATAGATGGACCAAAATTATTTTTATTTGTATCTGTAATAGAAATATGCAAGATTCTTGTCATTATTCTCTAAACAATGCAGTGAAACAACTATTTACATGGCATTTGTATTGTATTTGGTATCATAAGTAACCTCGATGTGATCCTAAAGAATACATGAAGATGTGCCCAGGTTCTGTGCATTTTACTTGTGGGACTGGAGCATTCATAGATTTAAGTACCCACAGGAGTTCTGGAACAAGTACCCCTTGGATGCTGAGGACAACTGATTTTGTTTTTACAAAACAGTTAAATAAATCTTGCTTGCTTAGGAAAACAGACAATACCAAGGTGATGAACTGCTCCCCTGTAACCGCATAGCTATGAGTTTATTAAGAAGAATCACCCTTCTATCGAGCAGGATGCAGAGTCCCCAATATGGGACAATGGCCAAGAAAGGTTTAATGTGCAGAGAAGAGGGCAGATGTCCTTATTCAAGAGACAGTCCTGAAAAGAAGTCCCATGACTAGGACATCAAATTGTTAAGGTGAAAATAAAAGGAGATCTTAAGATATTCACCATGCGATAGAGAATGTGCTTCTCGTGATTCCTTCCCCAGTCCCCATAGTCATGGGATCCCAGAGGCCAGTATTGCACCAGAAGAAACCATACCCAGCAGAGCCCAGACCTACCTGGATTCTATCCAGCGTGGCAAGAAAAGGGCTTGGAACATGGCTTGCAAGCATTCCAACGTTGTTCACTGACAGAAAGGGCAAAACAAAACTGTGTCAGAAGAGCAGGTAGGACATTTTCCTAAAGAGCCCTGAACAAAATATTTATTTATATGCAAGGTAGTTCCCACAACCTGCTTTGGTAACAGTAGTGAAATGAGATGGGAAAAAATAATTTTTGAAAAATAAGAAACTTATTTAATAAATCATAGGATGTTGTCATACAATTAAAAACTATAGCTGCTTGGAATTTTAAAAATATAGGAAAACATGTGATATCAACTTTTAAGTATAAAACTGTACATATAATTGTATTTTTCAAAATGTTTGTTTATATGTAAAGCATGCCATTTCCAATTTTGAAGATTTTAAAAAATTCAGATTTCCTTTATGTTTCTATTCTAATTTTTCTACAATGATATGTTTTCTATTTTTATTTGTGAATATGTCATGTTTTTAATTCAGCAAGAAGGTTAGAGATTAAATCTTACTTTCTTCTATGTATAATATAAACATCACATGGTGTATGTAGTTAAAAAAAAAACTTGCCTATAGGCCAGGCAGATGGCTCAGTAGAATAAGTGCTTCCCTGACAAGCGCAAGGGCCTGAGTTCAATCCTTGGTTCCACCAAAAAAAAAAAAAAAAAAAAAAAAAAAAAACCTCCCGTATAAATCATCATAGCAAATGCTATCTTTTTCCTGAGTAAGCAATTTCAATTCTCAAATCACCAGACTATTTCACAGTGAGAGAATTTGCTAAACTAATTCTTTGGTTCAGTTTCTGGGATTGCTCTTCCTGCCTAATGGTCAATATCAGTTCTGTGAAAAAAAAAATCACACTAGTATTATAAAATACCATTTAGAAGGTTGGAATATATATTTAATACATTCCAAAACCATATATAATTTTAATACAATAATGCCTCTTGAATTGAATTTTAATAATTGGCTTAATCCTGCAATTTAAAATACCATCAAAGATTGAAGTTAAGATATTATGGAATGATCAAGGTCACTCGGGTAATTATTTCAGGGACTTCAATGCCACTTTACGACAAACTGCCTTTTGCAACTTACTTACCTAAGATGCCAATTTCTAAGCCTTTCAGGTTTTCTTCAATATATTCATAGATGTCATCTTTGGTAAAATCTGCTTGTATAATCTTCACACTTGTCCCTGTAGCCCATTCTGCATTACAGACAACAGGTATTTCTTTTAATTTTTTATGTATTTAGTACAGAGTCTACAGGGTCTCACTCCACAGATTGGACTCATAGTGGTTCTCCTGTTTTCAGCCTCCCAAGCGCTGGGATTACAGGCACGAGCCACCACAGCCAGTCTTAGTCGCTGGGGGCGGGACCAGCATGGCATGTGGAGCTGGGAACAAACCCTAGTCCTTGAAGTCTGCCTAAGCAGACACTATGGTCTGCTGAGCTCTCTGGCCAGACCAACAGGTATTTCTTGAGCAGGAGTATACATTTCCCTCTGGACCAGGAGGTTCCCCGGTGTTAACTATACTACCACCGCTACCCTCGTACTTCTCAGTTACTACACTGAGAAGCATTTGCATTAAAACAGATTCAACGCAGTGGTTCCCAACGTTGGGATCACAACTCCACTGGAAACTTATTAGAAAGGCAAATTCTGATCTCCATCACAGGCCCACTAAACAGACCCAGCCGTGTGCCTGGAAAGACCTCCAGGTGTCCGCTGCGCATGCAGGTCTGCGGCAGCCTCTGCTCTGTAAGGCCACAGACGCACCATCTGTGTGTTTGCCCAGCCCTGAGGCTGGATGGATGCACACTCGCATATCTTAATCCCGCCTCCACCCTTGTGAAGGACAGAGTATGATTCCCATTTTCTAGAACAGAGAACTAAGCCTCAGAGAAAGGAACTAACTGCCTCAAGGCACCCACGCCCCGCTCACCCTAAATCCACTGCTCTTTCTGTTAGCCTGTTACAGTGCCTCAAGGAGGAGTTTTCCATCAGATATAAAAGCAGAGTTTACCAGTTTCTTGGTGTATTGCTTTAACTTTGTAGTTAGACTCACTGCTTCTACATCAAGCAATCTTGAGGCATAGTTTGGGAGTGTGGGATGCTTTGTGTGCAAAAACACGACTTAGTTCTCAAAAGAATGATTGAAGAAAAGCACCATTGAGCGTTGTAAGAAAAACACTCAAGAATGTCTCAGTCCCACTGGTGCTCCTTCTCTCATCCAGACAGCACAGACCAGGGTCGTCTGTTCACAGGTACTGAGCTGCCTGGCGCCACCCTACATCTCATATCTGTCTGCAGCTCAAATCTCCCCGGAGGAGTAAGGCTGATCCCAGAAGGCCTGCAATGGTCTTCCAGAGTCTTCCTAACCACTATCTCTTGGAGTTGAAAAAAAAAAAAAAAACCAACTTACTAATCATTGTAATTATTAAACTTCAAGTACCCAAAAAGAAATACATGTTCAGTGTTAACTAAGAACACTTCCAAGCAGAGTCATAATAAAACATTGTAGTATGAAAGTTATTTCAGAGTAATCAAATAGCTGAGCAGATTAAACTGCCTGCTTAGGCATATGCAGTGGCCAGGGTACAATCCCCAGCATGCTGTGCCAGCCCCAACCCTGGGTGCCCTGAGATGGTGATTGAAACTGAGCATGGTGGCGCATCCCTGTAATCCCAGCTCTTTGGGAGGCTGAACACAGGAGAATCGCTAAGAGAGGGATCTACTTAGTGAGACCCTGTAGACCCTTACTAAAATACAAAAAAAAAAAAAAAAAAGTAAGTAAAGAAACGAAAGTTGTTTCTTAGAGCTTTACAGTATACAGCCTCTGCAGCCATATGTGGCAGCTCTGGGTCGGATGTTTCTGATGGCCCGGGCAAGCACTACCCTTCACCCTCCTGCAGGAGGCAGAACACAGACATAGGGAAGTGAAGATCCACGCACAAATCCTGCTTTGGAAGGGAGTAGAAGCTGTCAGGTAGCTGGGGACTCAGGGATGCTGGGGCTGACTGGAAGCACGCGAGTGCTGCCCCAGAGGAGACAGCAGGCCTGTCTGTGCCTGCGCCTCTTCCTGCCTTGTGCACTCCTCGCCCCAGAAGCTCTGGCAGGCTAACATCTGCACCTCACACTTCACCCTTCAGTCTGTGAACAAGGCTGCTCTGTGAACAAGATAGCACCCCAGGCTCCCAAAAGCAGAGCAAAGGGGTTGCAAATGAGGACAGGGGCGGGCTGGGATGGTGGCTCTATGAACATCTTCTGTACTTGAGACAGGATGAGAACTCACCAATCTCAGCAGCAACAGTCTGGAGTTTTTCTAGCGTCCGGCTGATAAGTACAACATTGAGTCCTCGTCTTGCTAGCTGGGGGTTGTGGGGAGAGTGGAAACAAACAAAAACATATGAAAAAGGTACACAGACAGGGAGGCTTGCTCCACAGGTAAATAAATGGGTCTCAAGGTGCCACGTGTGGTTGCAGAGTAAGGTGCTTCTCTACCAGGGCTGGAAGCATGCAGAATAGGACAAAGTTTGCTGAGATATGAACAAAATAGCCATGAGGGACTGGCTGCAGGTGACAACATAATAGGCATCAGGGCATGTTGTGTTTTTGCTATGCACCAGGAACTATTCTAGGGACTTTTTGTTACACACCTGTGACCTGAAAGCTTCTCATCCAAAACACATGGATGTTTTGGATCCATGTGTCCAAATCAAAATACTGCAGACTTTGCACTACATAGAATCAGCCCTCTGGACCCACGGCTCCACGGATTCGACCAAGCCACAGACTGGAAGTGTTGGTGGAGGGGTATTTCTACTGAACATGCACAGAAGAGCTTTTGTTTCTTGTCCTTTTCCCCTAAACAATATAGTATTAGACTATCTACAAAGTATTTCCATCATATTAGGTGTTCTAAGTATCTTGGAGAGATATAAAATGTACCAAAGGATGATGCAGATGATAAGCAGAGGACTGTACCATTTTATTTTATTTTATTTTTGTCATTTTGAGATGGGGTCTCACTATGTAGTTCAGGCTGGCCTTTAGCTCGCTTAGTAGCCCAAGCTGGTCTCGAACTTGCAATGATCCTCCTACCTCCACCTCCTGAGTGCTGGGATTACAAGCATGGGATTGCCACCATGCTCTGCTACTGTGCCATTTTATATGAGGGGCTTGAGCACCTGTGGACTTAGGTGTCTACAGAGGCCCTGGGCCAGACTCCTCAGGTAGGGAGGGATGGCTGTAGGACTAGGTAGGAAGGTCTACGGCAGCACAGGTGAGAACAGCATTTCTGCAGCAGTATAAGATCTGTCCCCTCTACACCAAAACATTCTTATGGGGAGTCACTTAACAAGGGAACTTTCTTTATTTGCTTCTCTTGACAGGAAAGGAAATGGAATTGGGGTCCCAGGGTGAAAAGCC